GTGGTGGTAGGGAAAGTAACTCCTTCTTGAGCTGACAGACAGAGGTCTCGGAAAGCGTCTTCTCTCTCGGCCACAGTAACAATGCCCGTCAATAGAACTGCCTCCCACTTTGGATTTCCGGTGGCTTTGGCATGAAGAAACTTCTTTGCCGCCCTCCAGACCATCGCTACTGACTTAACTAGTTGCATTAGGCTACTAAACCGCTTGATATCTACCAGACTTGCAGCAGTCCTGGCAGATGGCCTATGCAAATTCACTGAGGGAAGATTTAAGTCCTGTTTCAGGCCTGCTTTCTTTGCCCTGAGCCTAGTAAGAGCAGCAACAAAAGCTTTTTTCTGGATCCTTGTGAGGTTCTCTCTTGCTTCAACGGCAACATCCTTAGCAGATTTCACTGGCCACTCACTTTCTGGGAGCCTTAAGAACCCAGCTGCCACTCTGAGCCTTCGTTCAACTCTTCGGGGCTTGCCCCCCTTGAAATAATGTCCGCTATGTTGAGTGGTCCAGGAACCCACCACCAGTCTTGAACATTTGTGCTGCCTTGAATTTCCCCGATTCTATTGGCAAAGAATGTTTGGTAGCCATAGCTTTCACGTTGGACAGCTCCTAGGACTGTTTGGCTATCAACTAAGTGGTACCATCTCTCTACCTGAATCTTAGAATGCCTTTCGAAATACTTTTTCAAGCGAGCAGCATACACAGCCCCACAGACCTCAGCTTTAACAGCATCTCCTTTATGGTCTAACGGAGTCAACCTTGCTTTGGACTCAACAAGCCGCACAATAACATCTTGTGGTAGTTGCCACCACAGGTACAGCACAGCTCCATATGAACGCTCACTACCATCGGAGAATGTGATGCCACAGGGCTCGCCACATGGTGCAGGAGGTGTCAAAGCTCTGACGAATCTCAACCGGCCAAGCTCAGCATAATCTTCAAAGAGGCAAACAGCGTCTTCCCTGAGACCCTCAGACAGAGGAGCATCACATGTATTTTCTGATGGATTGTATTTGCCCCTTGCTTCCCGAAATGCTCTTCTCACCAAAATGGCCCCCTTTTGCTTGACAGGTGTCGCAAGACCAAGGGGGTCATACAGCCCAGAGACTTGACTCTCTACGAGTGAGTGGGTTCGGCACTTGCGCCCTGATTTCATCTTTGGACAAGTTCTCTCCCAATCTCATCTTCTTTTTCCTTTTGGAGAAGTTTAACGCTGTCATCAAATGAAGTTTATCACTCTCAGGATCATAGCCTAGGCCCAAAGCTTTATTGCTCTCGTCAGGGAGTTGATTCGGAAGGACCATCACCACAGGTTCCTTCTTCTCAAGGTCCTTGGATTCTGGCCTCCCACTTTGGCCGGAATAAACCCATGGTTTCATATAAAATCCACCAGTTTCCAGGATTCGCTCAACATTGGCTGTTATTTGCTTGAGCTGGTTCAAATCACTGTGGGATGTAAGCACATCATCTACGTAAGCGTCTTGCTCCAACACGCGACGCTCTTCAACAAGGTGATCAAACATGGGCAAATTTGCTGTTTCACGCATGGCAACTTGTGCGATGCAGCCTGCTGGTTTATCGCCGATGTTGACTCTTGTGATCGCATACTCCTGAATATCCTCATCCTCAGAGTCTCTCCCCAAGAAGGGATGAAGATGTACCTCTTGGTCCTCGAGCCATACAGAATTGTACATTTTCTTTATGTCTCCAAGCGCAGCAAACACGCCTTGCCGGAAACGGATTAAAACAGCACGTATACTGTTGAGGACATCTGGGCCTTTAATGAGTAAGTCATTCAGGCTTTGACCCCTGAATTTCTGGCTACTATTCCACACGAGACGGACTGGTGTGGTAACAGAGTGAGGGTTTG